AAAATACAACAAATTTGTTACAGAATGTATCATAAAAATATTAAAATGCTCCAATATTAACAAATATGAACAAATGTGAAAATAAGTATTGCAGTACCATTCAAGAAAACTTATTTTTCACAAACACTTATTAAACGATAATAAAAATGACATACAAGCTTACATTCAAGGAAAGATGGTTAATGAATAATCCCAATAAAGCATTTTCAGACATAAGTTTTAAAGCAATATTAATAAAAGCATTTTTATTTATCATTTAGCTCCAAACATGCAAACACTGATTGAATACACCAATTCCTTAGCACATATGGAATAGCTATGAACAAACACATACACCAATTCTTTAGCACATATCGAATAGCTGTGAACAAATACACATAAGCAGTATGATACAATTACATGTTGAACAAGTACTAATTTAGAAGTCAAACAATAAAAATCAGCATATTTTCCAATTTTCACAGGACTTGTTTCGATGGTTTTACCAAACCATCATTCCCAACTGCAAAAGCGCAAATGAACGAGATAAGATATAATGATTACATGAAAAAAGATAAAAAAATAGCCGACAGTCAAGCTACTGGTGCCATCTGTTGATGAAATCAGAACTAAAACATAATTTCTTTAAAGACTGAAGGCAAAGATGGATCATGATTAGGGTAATTAAGTAGAACAGAAAGATTTTTTTGAATGTGAAATGCCTCTAGAAAATTCAGTTCAATAATGGAAGATGTTTTACGAATAATTTTAATAATAAATTTAATTTTTGTTGTTCCGACTTCTAAATTAGTAGACATAAGTATATACGTTTATAACCCCTTGTGGAGGACTTTCTATAACTCATAAAAATCAATTTTTAAAAAAATGATAGATGGCTTAAGTGATAATGCAACATTTAACATGACATTTCATGACAATGGTGCATAAAAACAGCAGCTGGTCATTAACACTCTTAAACTCGGACATCATTTTACAAAAATCTGGATGGGGGAATAAATAAAACAGTAAACAAGGTTAGAATATTCATTTTTAAGAGGAGGGATGTAACATCACATATCCTCCTTAAAAACACATTACAGTTGAGTGCTTTTGTCTAACACTGTTCATAACACCTCTCACATTACAGTTGAGTGCTTTCATCTAACACTGTTCTTAACACATCTAAAACAATTCCATATTATCATACAATAAAAACACTTTTTTTAAAACATATATTAATTCTATGTTATACAATGAAATCTTTTATGATTTGCTTCAGAATTACATTTGCAAACATCAAGTCCAGGAAATAGAAAACACAAATTATTTTAAGGGAATTGCTTCTAAAATGTGAAACAAAAATTTAGAGGAACTGAGAAACTATTTCCCAGCGAATTTTTATTCACTCCTTTACTATTATATTTATATGCATAAATATAATAAATACTACTTCTGAATAAAATTTTATGCCTTACCTTCATTCTTAGTGGAAAATATTTCTCACTATGCTCAAATACATTTCCAAAACATTAAATATGATGTGTCCTATGCACTCCTCAAACTTATGAAAAACAGAAATTGGTAGTGCTACTTAAAAGTTTTCACCATGACCTGCTTTGCAGTATCCATCCATGTGCTTCATATTTAATGCTCTTCCAAGTTCACATTTCACTACACATTTGTATAGCGAAAAATGTTGCATTTGCCACGTTCTATCATCCTTCAATACTGTTACAACCAATTCTGTTATACATTATATATTTATTACACCTGAAATAATTTTAAAACTGCAAAAACTATAACAAAATTTCAGGGTATATTTGTGTCTACAGAAATATTTTTATACCAGATATCAACAATGATAAAATACATCAATATTAATAAATAAGAAATAGATGTTTCAGTGGCAATCTAGAAAACCTATCAATCACAACCATATTTACTAAATAGTCATCAATAAAAGCACACAGGTGCATACATTCAAGGATAAGATTGTTAAAGAACAGCTCTCATAAAGCACCTCACAAACACGAAAAATAAAATGAAAGCATTCTTATTTATTATTTATCACCAAACAGCTATACACCAATTCATTAACATATACTAAATAGTTGTGAAAGAACAGATAAGTATATGGGTACATAAGCCCTTGTGAAGTACTTTCAGAACTTGTATTTCAGTTCTATTAAAACTCCTGAATCCAAAAAATGATATATGTCTTAAGGGATAATGAAACATTTAAGTATTTAACATGACATTTCACATTCAGTCAACAGTTAATGCTACACCAGCTAGCTGGTCACCAACTCCTTTCAATTCTTGCATTACTTTAGAAAAAAATCTGGGGGTAGGGTAGGGTGTAAATAAATCTCAAAAGTAGGAACATCCATTTTAAAAGGTGCAACATATTACATCTGAGATTCTCCACTTTTAAGAAAATACATTACATGCAAATACTTTTGTTTAAACATTGTTTTTTTCAAAACGTACACAATTCCATGCTATGAATAGAATAAAAACATTTTTTATAATGTATATCAAACAGTTAACGTCATCATACTATCAAACTTCGATTTTATGATTCTCTTTAGAATTACACTTTAAAACATGTAAAGGAAATGTAAAATATTGAAAATATCTCAAGGGAAATGCATTTAAAATGCAAAACAAGAACCGAGGAATTATTTAAAGAACTGTTTTATTACTTGTAGAGAAATTGAGTTTACTCATTTCATTTTATTTACAACTACATGTAATAAATATTTTTAACACTATTCTGTACCCTATATATTTTAGTGTAAAACATTTCCCACCATGAACAAACACATTTCCAAGATTTTAAATCTGATGTTTCATATGCATTGCTCAAATTTAAAAGTATAAAAAATCCAAAAAAATTTTTATCGGGACACAATTCACAGTTTCTATATGTTCATCACCAAAACTGTTACATTTGGTATACTTTATAGTCCCCTAGTTACTGTGAGAAAAATTCTTTTACACCTTATATATTGATTACACCTGAAATAACTTTTAAAATGCAAAAAGTATAACAAAATTTCAGTGTATGCTCTTGTCTAAAGAAATAATTTTGTTACAGAATATATCAATAATGATAAAATACTTCAATATTAATAAGAACAAATATTTGAAAATAAAGGTTGCAGAGACAATATATAGAAAACTTATGTCACAATTAGATTTACTGAACAACGATCAATAAAAACACATAGAAGCTTACATTCAAGGAGAGATCGTTAAAAAGGAAAAAAAAAAGCTCTGATAAAGCCCCACACAAATATAAATAGTAAAAATAAATACATTCTTATTTATCTCCAAACATGCAAGCATTGAATAAATATACCAATCCATTAATATGTATCAAATAGTTGTGAATAAACACATAAGTAAAGAATATGGGTTCTAAACCCTTGTGAAGAACTTTCCAGAACTAATATGCACTTACAGCTTACAATGAAACATTTATCAAAATTTAGTTTCAAAAAATGGTATACGGCTCAATCGTTCTATCTTTTTCATTGGTGTGATGCAAAAAAGAATGGTTTTTGTATCTTCCTCCCTTGAAAAATTACATTATATGTATAATCAGGGCTTAACATAAGGTTTTTAGCTTCTGTGTGGAATTGCAATTCCAGCTGAAGCCTCAATCGGGCAATGATTAACACTCTAGCAGCTGGTTATCAACTCCCTGCAACTCTGACATCATACATATTGGAAAAAAAAACTGGGAAGGGGGACAAATAAAAAAATAAACAAAGTACAAATATCCAGATAAAGAGAAAAAAAATTTACATCAAAGATTCCCCCTGTCCCTAATAAAAACACATTACAAGCGAGTGCTTGCTTTTATCTAACATATATTAAATAATCCTATCATACAGTTAAACCTCGAATTTACAAATTCTCTTTAGAATTACACTTTAAAGCATGAAGGTCAGGAAATGTAACACATTGCAAAACATTTTAAAAGAAATACATTTAGAATGCAAAACAACAAAACAAGAATTCAGAAAATTGTTCTATTACCTTGCAAAAGAACTGAGGAACTAAAAAGCTCACCACAATGAAATTTCATTATAATTATGTGTATAAATATATTATTTTATGTACTATGTGTTTATTCTTTATGTACAATATTTCCCATCGTGAACAAATACATTTTCAAGATTTTAAACATGATGTATCATGAATTTTTAAACTATAATAAGAGTATGGAAATGGATAGTATCTCTGAAAATTTTCATCACCACTTGCTTCATGATAGTTACCACTGATCTTTTGCATCATATTAAAAATGCTTTGGTGTCAAATATTAAAGCATCTTAATGCAAAAGACCAAGCAATGCCCATTTCATATTTATTACCTTCTGTAAGTCTCTAATAGGTAACAGGTTTTTTTTATGTGATAGAAGTTCCATTCACCATTTCAACAAAAGGTCCTAACTGTTCCAGCGAAGAAATTGTATGTATCACACTTCCAGCACATTTAATAGATGATTCAAAGAATCTTTTATTCAATAATAATTGATTTCTAGAAGTGCTTTCTTTATGACAGAACATCTATTAATTGTAGCTGATAACCAAATATATTGCAAGCTTCATTTGTACTATTAGGGAGCAAAAATTAAAATTTCAGTTAGCAATTTCCCACACTAAACTCAAAGGAGCAGAAAATGTACATATCAGAAAATGTACAAGCAGAAAATGTACCTTTTTTAATACCAAATCTCGAAGGGGAAAAAATGTTCATTTTGAAGAAATTTATAAGTGTCATTTTAAAATGAATATTACTCCTATGGTGTTCTACAATAAAACTGAAGAGCTAGGACTAGACTGAAAAAAGTATTAATTAAAAAATTTATTATAATGGATAATTATGAATTACATTTGAAGAACACTTACAGAAATTTGGTAAAAACAGTTATGTTTCTGAAGGAAAGAATGAAAATATTTCATAGAAAAAACCTTAATGTGACTCATTTTCTTTCAAAGATGTACAATTTTTTTTTTCACGGGTTACTATTTACATTAGCTTTTCATCATTTGAAAGGATTGACAAGTACAATTTTTTTAAAGCTTCCACAACTTCCTGAAGAAAGGAAGAGAAAAACATTATTTCTGACCTTCCAGTTGAGTGAGAAATGTGGCTTATAAATCATTGCTGTTTTGACCAAACTTACCAGGTAATGAAATTCAATTATCCTGCACTTCATCCTCCAGTTCACAACTTGAGAGACTTTTAGCTTTTTTTCAATAGGTATTAAGTACCCCTCTTATGCCCCAATGACATTGCAATCACAAGCATCCATGTAGAAATGTAAAAAATAGCCTGCATAATATACCATGCTCTAATTTTACGGATGCTGAATTATAACTCAAGCCCAAGGCATAGGAATCAATAAGCTTTTGCTAACCTCTAAACTAACTGGAGAGGCAATCAGCAATATTGAGAAATAGGGAAATGAGAGATGATAATTGATGAAGTTATCTGATTAGCATACTTGATAACTCAGCCTGCACTGATAACAATGATACTACTTCATTTCAAAATAAGCCTTTTAATGTTAATCAGGAACTCCCCCTTCATCTGACTGATGCTCTATTTGTAGAAGGCGATTCTTAAAAGTGATTCCCTTTGATAAGTTTTTAATTTTTATAGAGAAGTTGCAATACTTTAAACAGAAAAACAAAGCTCCTATATTCTATTCACTACATAAATTTTGCACATGGCCAGTTAAACCAACCTGAAAACAAGACAGCCTTATAACAACCAACAGAAGTTCTCAGATTCAAACATCTGAATCTCAACAAAGATGAAATACATATCACCAGAGTGCTAGCAATATTGACCCACAAAATTAGGCTATTTAACATGAGTCCCACACTTTAGTTGCTCATAATTCTCAAATTTCTGAAAAAAAGGAATGTCATTGACATTACTTTCCTTAAGTGAGACTTTAAGCTTGTTAACTGTAGAACAAAATTTACTCAGCATACTGATACTACAGGTGAAGCAATATTACTTAAAAATGAGATAGTTAGAAAACAATCAATAAGTATTATAGAAAAATAAATGGTTGCCAGTTTTGGCATTTCTTAAAAACAACCTTAACTTATGATGATGGTATACAGCAGCATCAAACATAATATATAATTAAAAGATACATACTTTAGTTTGCTTTGGCACCATATATTTGTTTCCATGCTTCTGCTTTTGGAAAAGATAAATACATTATGCAGTTAAACTGAATAATAAAAGCTACAAAGTTTAAGCAAGGTTCTGGCGACTTTTTCCTCCCTTTCTGTTTAAACTATTAATCTATGGGAAATATTTTTTTTTTCAATTATTCTTTTAAGTTATGCGTGTTTTACTTAGGTTTATACACATTTTCTCTTTTATTCAAGTTGAAATAAGCATTTGAAAGCCCGCATGTCAGAAAATAACAAAAGGCAATTAATTAAATAGCTGAGATTTTAAACATTTTATCATTATATTTAGCAACATTATTTTATTAAATACCCAATGTTATTTCAATTACTTTTGTCTCAGGTTCTACGTATAACACATGCTTCACAATCACAGATATTCAAAATACTACTTATCTGTTGCTTTATTTCCATGTTGAAGTAGAAGATAGCAAGCATAATTTGAATTAAAACACCTACTCAAGAAAATATCAGGTAAAAGGAACAAAACTAATCCTAATCAGTTCAGTTTAATTGAACATATTCTGACAACACAATCAATAATGGAGAAACAAAGGATCAGTCAAAATAATCTTTTTGTGTTCAAAGCATAAAGCAACCAGAAATGTGATTTTGAATTAAATCAAAATGAATGCTTACTTTTTCAAAAACGAGTCAAATATTTACGACATACAGCAAAGTTAACAAAACTTTCACACATGTGGAGAAAGTTAAAGCCTTCCAACAAAGAAGTTTTATTGTTTCTTAGGAATGGTGATTTACTATTCATAATTCTTGTTAAATAATTATTCCTGTCACATACCTTTTCCAGTAACTTCCACAAGTAATGGACAACAGAATGCATATCTGCTTTCTTCAGAACTAAGTCCCAAAACAGCAAATTACTGAAATTTATCCTGTATGATCCTATAATTTTCACATATGATGCCAAGCTTTAGCTACCCAGAAATAAAACAAAGAACAACTTGCTTGCTGCTAAAGACCATATTAGCATAAAACGGAGAAAGATAATTATCAAATCTCACTTCTGTGACTTGGAAAAATCATCAATTTGATGGCTTAAAGAAGCAAAAAAAAAAAAAAAAAAAAAAAAAAAAAAAAAAAAAAAAAGCTTTTAATACTTATAATTACTCCTAAATTCAGGAAAAATTCTAAAACAATAAAATATTTTTTCATATCTAGTTCATTTTGAATTTAATAAGAATCTTTTTATGAAAGCATTAGACATCAACCCTATTTAATATGTCACTTTCTTTAATCAATCTAGAAAATTATGTACTTTTGAGGTTTAACTGCATTAAGGTTATAATTTTAGATATTTTAAAACTTAAACAGTTCTAAAAAGAAAGCTCTTTTTACTCTTTTAAACTGAACACAAACTTTATAATAACCTTCAACAACAGAATATACATTTAATACATCAACAAGAATGAGAATGCATTCTTATTTTAAAGCTCCCAAATCCGACTTCTAAGCATGATTATTTACGGGCTTGCGATTCTTATTCTTAGTTGATCGCCCTCTTGGTTTCCGAGTTCTGCCTGACTGTCCAGTTGGCCGACGGTTCCCGCCTGAAAGCCTTGATCGATTCTCATTTCTGGCTGATGAGCAGCCCACATTTCTGGCATATATATTGGCAGGTTCCTGATTGCTAGTTGAAGGTCCTGCTTGTTCCTGATTTCCAGCCGATTGCCTTGCGAGATTCCTAGCAGATCTCCTCCTCACTATCGGGATGGGCATAGGTGGGGGTCGTATATCTACATATTTCCGACAGCTTGGACAAGTACATCGCTGTAATAATAATTATAAAGACATTTATATTAAGCTTTGTGAAAAGTAATACCTAATGTCCGAATGCAAATATTTCCTATGCAGCTACATTAAGTAATATATAAATACTTGTCATAAATTATTGAGTACTTTTAAAGGCGAATATTTAGAGAACTGAGCAATGTACTTATACGTTTTATTACTGAACTCGCAATTACGAATAGCTTAACGTTCAGCATGAGCAAAATTCCAATTTCACAGCAAGCATTATGGAGCACATCAGGAGTTATTGTATTAATGTCATCAGCAAGCTCATTGATATAGCAACCACTGGTTGTATACATATTCTTTCTTTCACCTAATCCTCCCATAAGAAATAGAGAGGTATCTAATCTCATTAATGATGATGTCACCCTTCATTATACATACAGTCTTTGACAAACATTCAAATTAAGAAACTGAGGGATGCATAAAAAGAGATACCAACCTTTAAAAAAGGCTATTAGCGATACTTAATTATCACTGCAAACTTTAAGCATTCCTTAGATTGGAGGACAGGAATTCAGGAACATAACCCCGATACTGCCCCACATAAGACATATCCCTTACAAATTTGGGGGAAAAAAAAAAAAAAAAAAAGATGTTACTGCTGTTGAATTGATAACGTCCAATTTGTTCCATATTTTACTGCAGCTAATTTCTCCATGGCTACACATATTTCGAACAGTGTTGTAACGGATTTCCTTTTCAGCACAAAAACATGCTTCAGTGGATAAATTGTATCTAACCTGAGTTTGATTTTTCCATACAATGATGAAAATCCTTTCAGCTGGTACACTGCTATGAAGTACTAGTCAACATTACTTAGTTGAGCTCTCCAATTCCACACAGTTCATCTTGCAATCTTGGTCAACACTGTTTTCGGAACAAAAAGTCTATGCATCGATTGGAACACAAAACCTCCCATCTGGAAAGACCATTCCCTATTTCAGCATGTTTTTAACACAAAAATAACATGCGAGGTCTATGTCACTTTCTGGCAATGTTTTTAGCTCAGTTTAATTTTAGAAATAAAACATATAGGACGCAGGTATGTTTTTCTTCACATATTCTTTGTCTTTTGGTCTAAACAGGACCCTTTCTTGTCATTTTTCATTAGAACAAAGTTTTTATTTTTGCTTTAATGGGCTAACTCTTAAAATGATGTATATTGAATCCTTACAGGTTTAAAACTGTTTAATCTGATTGTACATTTGCTTTCCCAGGCAACTTTGTATAGGACTTTTCTTACATCTTTTAAACGATTTTACTTTTTTAGATTACAAAAAAAAAAAAAAAAACTCTTGTTTTAAGTTTAACTTTGATCTTTTTGTTCACGTTTATATTTTACAATATGCAGGCACGTCGGGAAAAGGGACAAATCTATTGAGACATCGCTAAGAATAGATGAATTAATTTTATTAATAGAATAGCCGTTTTCGGTCTCAATGGTTTTTGTTAGATGAAATGTGCCTGGGTCATCAGCTTCGTGAAAGATTTCTGATACTTTTCCCTTAACAAGTCTGTCTGGTACCTTGAACAAAGTTAACTGACCATATATTTAAATTTTTTAGTATAAAATTTCTCAGTTTTTGTAAAATGTTTAGGTTTTTTAAGCGTACCAATTGATTTTTTTTTGTAAAAGTTTTATTAAATTTTTTAGTATTTTCGGTAGGTTTCTTAGCGAACCATTTTTGATTTTGTTGTATAGGTTTTTTTTTAAACTCTGTAGTATTTTCAGTAGGTTTTTCCCACGTAAAATTTAACTGCTTTCTTTTAGTGTAATTGTTATAACTTGGTGTTACATGTAAACGTAGAATTAGCTACATCAAATGTACTTTAAGGCTTTAGCTATTTTTTAAACTTTCCTTTTCTTTCCAATATGTATATTCAATTTTTCAATATATATATACACAGTACAAAGTCCAAGATCTAGACATGCAATATCCGGAATGATCTAAAATCCGGACATCAAGGGCTACTACCACTTTTTGTTCTATATATATTCTTTTTGGTGTTTGTCTGCTGTATGCGTTGCACACTTAATCCCCCCACACACATAATAAAACATGTGGAGAGTTCCAGATTCTTAATTTCACTTCGGCACTAAACAAAATACCTCGTTATTGAAGAAACAATCATTTTAGCATAAATTTGTATGATGAAGCTGCCGAGCCGATCATACATCTCAAACCAAAACATTCTACAGATACATTGTTGATTTTACACCCCTGAAGCCAACCTGGCGAATCATTATTTATCATATTTTGCTTTCATCACTGTATCTTTATTAACACATGACACACTTGAAAACTGACTCATGGAGGAATACCTAAACAATTTTTTTTTATATTAGTAACTGAGAAACAGCATGGCAACCCTTTATGTTGACATTACACTTGGCGATGATCACAGATTTAAGTTAAATGCGCTAAGAAATGTTGACAGGAAAATCTTAACAAATTTTTTTTTCGATACGCTAAAAGTAGATTTTGTTAATTATACTCATAAGTCAAATGATTACATTTAGTGTTACTTGAATTAAGAATAACTGATTTGTTATTCACTAAACCCAGAACCAGCACCAGAGATCATATGATTGCACTGTGTGGCAGAATTTAGGTTAGACGAAGAGAGGCGCTTGGTAGCAGAATTTACGAGCCACAGAGACTGCATCAGGTGCCAGCTCTCAACCAGCCTTAAGTATATGTGGGAATTTAGTTATTAAGGACTGAGATAAGCATTAAACATGTGCAAGAAATAGGCATAAGTATAATAAGTAAACACAATTCAGGCTTAACTGTTTCAGTATGCAATAGAAGCAATATAAAATTTAGCAGAACAACTTGTCTTTAGTCGCCAATCTCATAATAGATAGCCAAAAATATGTATATTGAACGACAGCTAAATTTTACGATAGCCGCGAATCTGAAGATTTTTGGATATCTCAAACCAAAGGCGAAATTTTTCAATTAGCGGAAAGAAATTTGGAGAAACAGTAATAAACGAAGAGGATATAAAAGAAGATTTTTACTGGGATGTCAATGCTCCTCAATCATCAATCAATTAATGAATGGTGAATCATCAATCAATTAATGAAGAGGATATAAAAGAAGATTTTCACTGGAATGTCAATGCTCCTCAATCATCAATCAATTAATGAATGGTGAAATCTGTAATATTGTTCTAGATCCAGAAAATATCGCTACAGACAGAGTGACGAAAAAATTTTGATTGACGAGTTAGTCAAAATTCTAGACACAGCAATTATAGAACTTAAAGGAACTTTTTAACTGAATAAGAAATTATGTCTGTCTATAGAATTACAGAGAAAATAATAGCACAAAAATATGAAGCAACTTAAACAACTTGAAAGAAGTGTTTAATAAAGTATAAATATTAACCTTTTTTTGGTAAATTTTGATACCCTTTAGATCATAAATGCTTCAGTACTCCATAAACCACGATTTCACATTTTTAATTTTATGATTTCTATATGCCATCTTACTATATTTAAACTGATGATCCGGAAATATCCCAAATCCAGAATTGCAAAAGTCGAGTCCAGATCTGGGACTCTGTAATAGGTGTCTGTGTCTCTAACAAAGCCTCACATACCCTATTTATTCTTAACCACATACCCTATTTATTCTTAACCACATACCCTATTTATTCTTAACCACTTGCGCTACAGACCACTTGCGCTAAACTTCACCGTTGTGGTGCCATGCACTACAATATAACAAGCGGTAAAGTGTCTCATTGATGCCGCTCCATGTCTGCGAGTGCAATCCAGAGCTGTAACTCGAGAAAAAAACAATCTCGTTGTTAGGCGATGTGTGCACCATGTTATTTTAATTTTTGTGATAAATGCCTATCGATGTGATGTTCACGTCGCTCGTAGTTTGAGACAAAAACATCTAGATGTGCTTGGCACATCTCTTTAGCACAAGTGGTTAAGCCTCACATACCTGCCACATGTGCAAATGAAATCAGCACAAAAATGATCAGTTCATCTGATGTACTGACTGTGACAGCTGTCAAAGTCATATATGATATATCAATCATGACATCAGCATAATCATAAACTTTACTTTTGTTCACTCACTTAAATAGCAGTCATGTTATCCTAACTTGGCATCTTCAGTAATTATCACATCCATAATTTTGTAATAAAGAGCAGAAATCAGTAATAGTTACAGAAAATTTCTAACAAATTACACCTCTAAATTCCAGAAATACCTCATAGTGCAATGAAACCAGATACTGACTAGCCATTTTAACTACTACAATTGATGCTTATGTGGAACTTTTCAAAGCTAGAATGCCGTAAATAATAGTATTTGAAATTGCTAGTTCAATAACAAAATATGCATACGAATACATTGGTTTGTTTCTTTTAATATTCATCATTGAACAATGAAATGCACAAAAAATGTGTATAATTTAACAGGCCATACAAGGAAGCCATGTGCCCACATCAGATTTTTTATACCAATTTGCTGTCTCTAACAGCAAGTATTTTGTCTTCTTGTTGCTTTGCATTTCTCGATTTTCTACGAGATTTGAGACCATTATCGTTTGTTTTTGAAGAACTTGTAATATGTTATACTTTTAAATATTTTTGGAAAATAAAATGTAGGTTTTAAAAATGGAAAAATGATTAGGATTGACTAAGCGGAAAAGTGATGATTCACAGGTGATGGATGCAGGACAATCTTCTAGCACTAAGAATAATGAAGAGAAAAGAAAAAATGTTTATAGAAAATATAATGAATGTTATTTATCATTTGGGTTTACTTGGAATGGAGATGAAATGGAAGCTCCACCTCAACGAACTGTTGCAGTGAACTGTTGAACAATCAAAGTATGATTTTGATAAAATTTTGTTATGACATGATACGTAAGTCAATGAATTCATAAAATGGCAAGTTTTATAAAAGAGGCATCTATTGGACAATGAGTATTTTACATTGCAACTGGATGAAAGTTCTGATATAATGAACTCTGTTCAATTACTATATTACAATGTTTCAAAAAAAGATAAATGAACTGCCAGAGCGCATTTTATGAATCTCTTCATGATAGAGCAAATGCAAACGAAATTTTTAAAGAAATTGACAATTTTATGTCTCAGAACGATATTTCTTAGAATAAGTGCATTGCCATATGCAGTGACGGAGCTTGGACTTTAAACCCCTTCGCGCCGACTGTCACGTATACGTGCCAGCAACGAACACACTTATTTACCGGCCGACACGCAGGCGTGCCAGAGCATTGTTGCTTTACTATTGACTGTCACGTATTTATGCCAGTACCTTGGAACGTTTTTCAAACTATAATTTCTGCCACAAGATGGCACTGTATGTCCATATGGTTTGAGATACATGTACATTAGACCTTCTACTCGAAATGAGAGAAGCATGACTCACATACACGTGTTTGTGATTATATAAACAAACGGGGAACTAAATGTTTCCGAATGGCGTGATTTATGACGTCTCTTTAAATCGAACTTTATTCGCACATGGTAGCTGTTTATTGTAAGTAGAAGTTTTATATGCGCTAAAGCGTTGAGTATTTCGGTTTATAGTTCAGTTTTTAGAAAATAATTAGATCTTGTTAGACGTGAATTTTTTCTGTTTTTACCGTTTCAATGCCGAAGCGTCGAAAATGTTTGACAGAGTATGAAATAGCAGAAATGATGCAAAATATTTCACATATTGATTCTGAAATTCTGATATTGATTCTGAAAGACATTTTCCAAAACTTTGTTCAGAAGAGACTGATATGAAAATGAGACGACGATGCTTTCTTTGTTCACATTCCCGGAAAAATCCTCCAAAACGGCAAATGAGTTATTACGAATTCAAGGAATGTAACGTAGGGCTGTGTGTAGATCCCTGTTTTAAAATTTTTCATACGAAAAGAGAATTTTAAGTAATATATTTAGTTTTCAGATGTATAATGTTAAAAGTCATAAAATGGTGAGTAATTAAAATAAAATGTGTAAAATATGCATTTAAACAAGAAATAAGGTAATTAAAGTATATATAAAAAAATATCTATAAAGCATAAGCCGTTTAAATACTCTATAGAGCATTATTAAACAATTCGTTGATACTTCGGAAATTTCAGGGATTCAGGCTTAGTAGCAAAAAAGCTCCCGGCCCTGGAGAGACGCTCGCGGAAGACACTGCCGGCCTCCGCCATAAGCGCGCGTTTTCGCTACCCGGCTCGAAGGGGTTAACAGGAAAACATTATGGTGTTATTTCTCAAATAAAGTCCCACGTGAAACTAAATATACTCACTACTCCATTCATCATGAAGCTTTAGAGCCAAAACAATCCCCGAAAACTGTTCTGAATTAATCTGTGATAATTGTTAATTTTATTAAAAGGTGAGATTTAAATTGAAGAATATTTATAATTTTATGCCAAAAGACAATGAACATGAAATGCTTTTTTCACATTCCAAAGTAAGGAGGTTAGGCAAAGTTTTAAATCGTCTTTTTGAACTTCGATCAGATATTCAAATTTTCCTCTGTGATTCAAATTACAAAAATTTTTATTTAGTTAATCTTGGGTTGCGCGTTTAGCATATTTAGCTGATGTTTTTGAAAAATTATTTAAATTTAGGATTATAAGAAAAAAATTTTAATTTGCTTAAGATTTAAAAAGTAACACACTTGTTAACATTTAGCTGAACTCAAAAAAGGAATTTAAAAAAAAGCTATTAAATGTTTATTCCCTTTTCACACAATCTATACGCGTGAACAAGAATTTTCATCTATGTTTTATTTGAAAAATAAGTACAGAACAAAATTAAAAGTTATTTCCTAATTTATGGTTAAAACTACATGAAATAAGACCAGATATAAAGAAACTGATCTCTCTTAAAACAGGTCCAAATTTCGCACTAAATTTTAAAATTAAATTATTATAACTTAAACTTTAATAATTAAAATGGTAACCAATTTTTAATGTAAAATTTTTAATACAAATAGCCAATAGATTTTGGAAATGGCAAAATATATTTAAAAAAATTACTTCTATTGAGAAAATTAAAAATAATCACTGTAAAATGGGGTAGAGGCACTTATGTTTTTCAACTTTTGTTTAGACGGTACATGTTACTTAAAATGTTAAGAACCGAGATAGGCAATTTCTATCATTTACATTCTTAGCTACATCTACAATCCTCTTGCATAACCTTCCAGCTTTTCTTTCTTGGTATTCCAGTTTCAACAATGAGCAGTGTATAAGGTAGTTATGGCAGTACTGAATATATAACTTCTGTTCAGGTTTCAGCCAAGTAATACCATGAGCATTCAGTATGTAAAACTTACAAGCAATCAGTAAGGGTTTAACAGAGAAGCACCCACTTACCTCTTCCAACCAAGGAATAATACAATGACTATGAAAAATATGTCTGCATGGCAAACCTTTCACGTTTTGCCTCATACGGAAATATTCCAAGCATACAGCACACTGTTCTGATTTGCCTGAAACAAAAATACATTATTAATCTTATAAATGATACATAATCCAACAAACAGTTTCACAATTAAGCAAAAAAAAAAAGAATTATAAACTTCTGTATGCTTTTAAACATTAAGAAAATCAGAGTTACTCAATTATAAAAAAGTTGCACTGAACAATCATATGTAAAATGATTTTATAATTATTTTTCAGATATATGTTTAAATGAATACAAGAAGGCAAATTTATTTATGCAACCAAATCAAGTCCACATTGGATATCATAGCCTTAAAAAAATATATGAAGTCATATACTGAAGAGCCAAAACATTATGACCACCTACTCAAGGTGTGTGGCATAGACAAATAATATTACATTCCTAGGGTGCAGTGGCATAGACAAATAATGCATTGTGCGACCTTTGGCCTGAAAAACAGCTGCACCATGCCTTGGCATGGATGCCACAAGTTCTTGGCAGATGACTGCAGACAGGTTGCATCAAATCTCAGTGGTCATGCAAAATCCAAATATTCTGACATGGTGGTGTTTGAGCTTTGAGGTGGTCCATGACATCACAAATGTGGTCTATTTAATTAAGACAGTGAGTTAGGTGGCCAGAACATTAATTGGAATTCATCCTTATGCTCCTAGAATCCCTCCAAGACAATTTGAACCTTGTGATATGGGACATTGTCCTGTTTAAAATTCCATTTCAAGGCAAGATAAACGCCATGTAATGGTGTAACTGATCTGCAGTTATGCTCAGATAGCCTGCAGTTTTTATGGTCAGCTCAACCACAACTAAGGACCTGAAAAGCCACTCATGAGAACATCCCCTAAAGCATAATACCGTCACCACCAGCCCTGTGTATGACTTGTCGTATGGGGAGGAGGGGGCTATTCACCTGGACGATAGCATACCCTGACATGATCAATAAGAAATCATGATTCATCCGACCAGGCAACTGTCTTCCACTTATCCGCGGTCCAGTCCCAATGTTCCCACTGCAGGCATAGTTGACAATGATGCTTGCTTAACAGGCACACAAGTGAGACGTAGGCTGCACAGTCCCATATCCAACAGCGTCTGCTAACTGCGTGTTCTCAAACACTTGCACTTGGACCTGTACAGTATTGGGCTATCAGCTGAGCAACTGTCTGGTGCCAATTTTGCTGTACCAAGTGGAACAGTGTCCAACGTCCTTTTTTGATAGCATCTCCTGCTGGTTTCACCATTATTTATACGCTTTGCATAAACACTAACAATGGCAAAACTGTAAACATCCTAACAGTCATGCAATTTCGAAGATATTCACTCGAAATCTTCGAGCCACTGCAATCTCCCTCTAACAAATTCGCTTAGATCAGCAGCCTTTCCCACTACTTATAAAAGCAAGTGCAAGAATGATTCCTTACCTTTTCCAGCATCAGTTAAATACCATTCTCATATAAATCATCCAGAGAAGTTCATAGAAAAATGTGGGGATGAACATAATGTTTTGGCTCTTCAGAGTGTATATATATATTACAAAAGAAATGGGAAATCTTGGGGAAAATAAAATTCATTTGCAAATGGATGTACATTAAGAAATGCAAAAACAATACTTTCAACTTCTTATTTTAAAGTGACATTTCATTGTACAGCTGACTTCTCTCTGTAAGAAATTTTCTCCCGCATCATAACAGTGCTCACACCTTCATGCAAGCTGCTGATCTTTAAAAGAACAGAAACCTTCATCAGGGTGCAGTGGCATAGAGAGGACCTCAGACTCATTAACATCAGCTACTAACATGAAAAAAGCAAACTTCTTACTAACTTGTGGGTACCTTTAATATTGGGATAGCACTATCCAAGTCTAAGTTTTCTGTTAATGATACAAAAAAATTTGCCTTTATATAAAACCATTTCACTTGAACAAGGATGCAACCTTTGAAAAATGAGGACTTTGCATAAAGTTGTCTAAATCTGGACTGGCACAAACATGCCCATACTGTCATAAAACCCCCTTGGACTCGCACAGGTGATAAAAGGGGCTTTGTCCACATTTTTTTTAAACAATTTCTTTTGATTATGCTGTGTGAGTCAATATTTATTGTTCTTTTAACATCCTTTATCTTATCTCCTCTAACTTCATTTAATTTTTGCTTTTTTTAAACATTTTGAGTCATTAGGCTTTTAAATTTTACTTTTACATGTTCATGAAAACTTTAAAATTTACAGAAAATAAGTCTCCTAGAGTGTTTATATAAAATAAAATTTTACATTACAGGTACATTGTTTCAAGCATATCACTGTAAAAAAAAAAAAAAAAAATGCTTAAATTTTGAAAAACATGCTTACTTAAATATTTTATATCTATAAACTAATTTTTAGACAATTTGCAGAATATCAAACAGTGAAAACACTATAAAGAATACCAACAGTAGCATCTGTAGACATGTATAAGCTTAAGAATTATTAAATACCAATGTTTCTTCATGCTCTCTGAAACAACTATTTTCAGGTATGGTTAACAAAAGATTATCACCATGAAACACTTTCACTATTCACCAATGTAACACCTTTCATTATAAAATATAACTTACTTGAGTACAATAACTAGAACATTTTACGTAAAGTTAAGGAACTGCAATTCGTATACACAATTTTATTTGTTTCTCAATAAGTATCATAATGATCGGAAGAAAATATCATATATTTTGAATGTTATTCCAAAATACTATAACATAATTTAAGTAAACTACAATGTTAGCACATTGTTTTCATGACAAAAGGATGTATTTCAAATCAGAACATATGAAATGGACCACGAATTACAATAATTTAATGATGAAAATGCTATTAAATTTCTTGTAAATCATTAATGTTCTTTATTAGCTACAAAACAGGACTGCACAAATGAATACTACAAGTGGACACTTTTACAACATATTTTAGCAAAAAGTTTCTTAATTGGAAAATTTTTAACAAGTTCCGCATTAACAGATGTAAATTTTAATGAACAGAGCAAAGGATGCAGATACGATAAAAATCTCGAGATTTCAGAACTTTTGATAGTCAAATAAAATACTGAATCCCAATGAATTTTTTTAACTATAAATATTTAATAAGTCAAAACTTTATCAGATGAAACTGTAATCATGCTTTTTTTTTTTTTTTTTTTTTTTTTTTTCTGAGTGACTGAAACACAGGAACTGTAACAAATAAGACGACCCATGTGTAACATTAGTCTTTAGAAGCATGTAATGATATAAAAGTGAAGATGATACAATTTTTAAATTACATAGTGGATTATTCTGTTCATGAGGATATTCTTGTATTGATATGTAATTACTAAAATACGGCGATAACAAAACTTTGCCCAGATGACAAGGCATATCTTGCTCCTGTGTGTTAATAAAAATTAGTATTATATCATTGCAGTCACATTACATTCTATAATAGAGATGGGCCTTATATTGAATTCTAACACCAGTTCTAAATTATTGTGAAAATTTGAGATAAATTTACACTTAATAATTTAGGATATACCAGAATAAAAAAGAAAATTTCTGCAGTTGGGTGGATGGTGCTATTAGGAATTCAGGTAATTTCCCGAGGCACCACTGTCTGTGATGTTGTTTCGTTACTTGACATCAATGGCACTAAAAAATTAAACATGAATTATATAATTCATGGAGGAGAAAATGATAAACTCGTAGGAAGAAAAAGCACGAATCACAATCTAAAAAATACACCGACGCAAATTTATATAATCCTGGGATCTAACAAGTGAGGTTTCCATAAAATTTCACAAAAATGGCAGACTTTTACCCAAGTTTGTGAATATTCATTAAGACCTTACATGGGCTTCCTACAAGCCTTGATGACAGTCACTTTCCTTATAGCACTGAAGTTTACAAGATTACTGGCACTACTGAATACCTTTGCTAGGACACTTGTGCTTTGACAGACTGGATCCTACTTGGGAAAAGGTGCCTGCACTACTCCTAATTGCATACGTCTGCAATATGACAATCAAATTCAAGAACTGCTAATTAAAAAATGTATGCAAGTACCAAAATAAGTTTTTTTCTTGATGAACATAAATGAAATTATTTCACTACATTAACTTATATCGTGAACATTAAAAAAAAGTCACATATCCTGAGTTATCACAATACTATCACAGTAAGCATTTGAAAAGTGCTAAGTATTACACACACTGTGTGTATAATTCTGATGGAGAAGAATTTATGTTATTTTAACATTACAGAATTTAATTACAAAATATAATTAGCTAATGAAGGAAGACAGTTACATTTTGTCTTCCTTTCAGGCTATCTTCTCAGAGGCAAATGAAATTTTGTAAAATTCATATTGAAAAATTTTAAATTAAAAACAAGTTCTCTTGAAGTGAAAAACATAAGCACTACTTTCATGCTAATTTATACACCTGTACATAAAAAAGAATTTTGATAATCCATGGCTGTGAAATTTAACGGCGGTATTTTCTACAAGTATTTGCTTACAACTTTCAATACAAATACATTGTAGTGAGAATAAAGAAGTGAATTCCATTACTGAAACTACCCAGCATTTACTATGCATTCTGCTTCAACGCCTTGATGACCAAAACACCCGAGACAGCCTTTCATTCAAATGACTACAACCACCTGAAATGCTGATGATGTCTTCTTCCCTCCCTTAGGATATGCATTAGCAGATGCAGTTTCTCCTAATGCATTGTATCAATTTATTACACACTGCTGCCCTAAAAGGCTGATGGAAGCTTCTTTGTTCTTCAAACCTCTTTTTGTACTAATGGATAGAGAGGGCAGGAACTGGATGGGGACAGGCGTTTCAGTATTTTAAGCATACAGGTTAGTGAAGGCTTCAATTTTCTAAGGGTTAAATAAACCCTTCTGTCAGGTGCATATTATGCAGTACTTATTTTGAAAAGAAATAATACACATGTCAAGAATTTGTCAACAACTTTTAAAACACCGTGCCTTTAACTAGAATGTACCTCACAGCTGGTTT